GGGGGCCGCGCAAGGTGCCGAGAAGCGGGGGTCCCCAAGGCCTCCGGGGTTTGGGGCGCAAACCCAGGTAAAACAGGGGAGCGGAGGCCCGAGGGGCTTCCTCGTGCGGCCGACAGCACCGGCAGCGGGCTCGGGGGTGAACCGGTGGCCTGTCCGTGTCTTCCCAAGGCCGAGGGAGGCCACGCCTGACTCAAAATGTAGCCGTACACGAAGCGTGTCTTGTGTGTTGCAGTATTTATCTAGATGTGTTGTTGGGGCATCGCTGGAAGACGTAGGAGAAGGTGAGGAGGAAGATGAAAATACGTCAGATGCTGAAGTTCCTCACTTGAAAGGAGGCCAAAGGCCAAAGGAGGGAGTCTACCAGATAGTGGGAACTCTTTCTAAAGCAGAGAGTAAAAAACCATCTTTTGCAGAGGAAACCTATGCAGTAAGTAATAGTCTTATTCTTTCAGGTCACCATCAGACAATATCAGAAATATTGCAAGACATTTAAAATGACCTATGTTAATAGTCTCTTGTTGCTGCTGGAAGCTTTATACGTGTATTTTATTACCTCTGCTTCTTGCACGCTGTCATCTTCTCCCTGTTGGGTCTGATCCAGCAAATCTTAAAATTAAGGGACTCCAGGGACTTAAAATAAAAAATTAACCGATTTGGCCAGGACATCATTTACCCAGTGAGGCACAACCCTGCTTTCTTTTTTTCCTCAAAACACACACCTCAAGTATTTCTCTCATCTCCCCTGTGTATTTTAGCACCATTTTGGCCATAGTGGTGCTGGGACCAAGGTCAGTATCTTCCTCTCCTAACTATCTGCTGAATCTCACTAGTGACTAATTGTTCTTAACACCTATGTCTTTGTATAAAGTTATGTTCAAAGTTTAGTTAACTAAAGGGGGCTCGCTTTTGAGAATGTGGTTGCTTAATGTTTTCTGACAGTAAGATTGCCTTTAAGTGTCTCAAGTTGGTTATCCAGAATCTCTTCCAACTTCTGAAAATTTTGATAGGAACTTCTATATAGCTGAGTTGTTCAATCAGAAAATTATGGCTAGTAGTATGTAATCTTGAGTGTTGCTCTCATACAGAGTGTTTGCTGGAGTGATGTTTCAGTATTTAATTTATATATCAGCCTTACTTTTATTGGACTGGCAGAGTCTGATATCAGTCTTACAAATTATTCTAACGTCCTCTCCAGAAATGATGTGATAAAACTACATTCTGTCAGGAGGTTAAACTTAAAAAGAAAAGGAATTTTGCATACTTTTTTTTTTTTTAATGAAGGATTCTAACTTTTTTTTTCCACAGGTCTCTTCTCGAGAAGAACTTTTAAGTTACTTGCTTGAGTGTGAGGTCATTTTATATAATATCACTGAGGATGCAAATCAAATTGAGGAGGCAACATGGGCTGCCTCTGGTTAGTAAAGCCATCAGCTGAACGGAAAATTGGTTGCTATACAGCCATCAGAGTTTACCATAGATCTATAGATGTATAATGAAGTAATGTGGTATTTATAGTTTACTGTAATGTAAAACTAGGTTCCTCGATGGAGATATGCTGCATAAATTTTTTTTTTTTACTTAGCAGGGGAGCTGGGAATGCACTCTAGAATGCATAAGCTTGAGAAGCTGTCATAGAATAGTCCAATACTGTTAAGTGACATATCTGTGTAAGCTGTTATTTCCCTAAATAACTATCCACTGTGATGTTGTCTATATGAATTAGAAAGTGGGTAGAAATTTTGCTCCTGTGATATTCAAATAATGTTTCAATATTTTATATAATTATTTAAACTATATTTTGACGGAAAACTGCAGTGAAAACCACTGTTAATAATCTTTTTACAACTTTCTCTTGATTATTAAATCCAATTATAATCAGTGTGACAGCACAATGTTATTCTTTATATGATAGTTAACCTAAATTATGCTCTTATATTCACAGTGTAAATACTGTGATAGCATCATAAGTTTTAGAGGAGTCAACAAAATATGACCTACATTTAATTATTTTACTGTAAATTAGAATAAGGAGACTTTTCTTTAGAGTTCTGTGGATTATTCTATTTCAATGAAAAGAAAACACTTATTTTCTTTCAGTATCTCAGCAGTCAATAAAGATGAATCATTTCCTGGTATAAATTGTTTTATTTTTTCCCCCTCATGTTAATGTAATTCTTTTTTGGCATATCATTATTTATTTATTTTCTTTCTTTAATTATCGTGTTTATTTTATACCAAGCCAAGTAAAGAGTATTTGCTAAAAATAGGTATCATGTAGAATATTATAATATAGCTGCTTATATGGGACCTTTATAAGAGCAAAAATACTGTTTGAGTAATACAGTTTCCAGTAAAAATATCCTTTGCTTTTATTAAACAGCACTGCGTACAGAGATGCAACGTTTTGAGATACCAAAGATATTCATCCTCATTTCAACAATAATGAGCTGGGCAAAAAGTAAACCCCTTGACCCAGTAAGCAATTAAAAAACACTTCTTCACTGAATGTTTTCTATTAAATGTATGCAATTAAACTATTTCAGTATGCATCTCAATGCTAGCAAATAAGGTTTGCGTCAGTAAGTCTGTTTTCTTGTGGTCCTTGCACCTGAACCACTGCTTACTGCCAAAATTGTTAAATTTACTCCACTAGGTAGATAACTTCAGGCATCCCGCTACAAAGAGCAGGGAGACCTATGTGCAAATATCAGAGACTGTTTGGCAAGAGGCAAGACCTCTGCTAAGCACAATATATGCTGATCTTCAGTCATACAAAATCCTGAATATACTATATATTTAGTGAAATATTTAAACCAGTGGATGTATGGATAAATGCATGTATCTGTATATATAGATATGGGATTATCATCAGGAATCACGTGGGAAACTTTTTGGTATGTTATTGCAATTCCTGAATTTAGTCTTACATAAATTGTGCACATAAATGTTATCTGTAGCCATTTTCAATGTTTTTTCGTGTTTATGTAATGCTATATATAATATTAACCTCCGTATCTTTTAAAATATAGCAAGTACTTTACAAAGTTTGCTGTGAAAATATCAAAGTATTGATGTTTTTAAAATGCTGAAGTATTAAGAATTTCAAATTTAAAAAATTAAAATTAATTTTTGTTTAACTTTTTAACCATTTTGGCCTATAAAAATTGATGTTTAAGGGATGTATAACATTCATATTTTTCCTTCCCAGGAGGATTCAGAAATTGCTTTTACTGATGAAGATTATCGCAGAAGAAAATCTCATCCTAACTTTGTGGATCACATAAATGCTGAAAAACTTGTTCTCAAACTTGGGAAAACTGTATGTAAAGAATTTGCTTAAGTATAGGTTGTTGGGTCTTTTTACTTAGAGCATTTTCTTAATAACAGAAGTTATCACCAATTTTAAGGGTATATTATTTTCCTGATGAATGCAAATAACACCCATTATTAATATCAGGTACAGAGAAGGCAATAATCTCTTCCGAAACATAAATGTCTACATAATACAAATCTCTACCTTCCAAATTCTGTCTTTTTTTTCTTAGGTAGTGATTAAATGATGCTTACCTCATTTGAAAAAAAAAAAAAAAACAACTTGTTTCAGTAGGTATATCAGGGAGAATTGAAGCTGGGGCCTGTTTGGGGAAAGAAGGCTCAAGGATGAAAGGAATATTAGCATAATTTTAAAGAAAAGCAGCATCTATCTTGAAATATTGGTATGTTATGTTGTCTCATTTAAATATTTAGAAGAAGTTCTGGTAAATACTTTAGTAATTTGGGACGCACCTAGCATGTTCCTGGGTAGACCAAGTGCATGGAGCAGGAGCTTGTTGATTTTAGTCCACCCTCATAATTCATTTTAAAATCGTGGCCAAAGAGCTGACCCAGAATAACTAGAGGGTATATTATCACTTTATATGTATTTTATATTCATTTCCTTCACCTTCATTTGTCTCTGCCTGATTAGACTATTAATCTTCTTGGAGAACAGATGTCTTTGTGCACTTAGGAGATATTATTAAATAAATCGCAACAGTGGCTCAGATCCTGCTTCATGGCTTGAGAAAATTGGCACTGTTGTCTATAGAGCCCGTGGAGGTTAGGAAGGAGAACTGGAAGACAAGGAAATACACTGTCACTGACGAAGGCGTTTGGTCACTCTCTTTGTATGCTAGCAGTCTCCCATAGTGAGGTGAAGGTGAAAATGAGATAATTTAGCATCCATAACAGAAATTTATCTGACTAATTATACAGAAAAATAAAATATAATTTTTGCTCTGCATTGAGTATACCAGTCGTTGTCTTATGCCTTGCTGAGAAAATAGCACTAGAAATTGTATTCTATTCTTACACGGGTTTAACAGCACAGAACACCGGCAAAATTTGTTTTACAGCTTGAAAAAAAGCAATGGTAAATTGCTATTACTTTTCCTGTGCTAATAAGGAGGTCTAAGGTTATGGAATTACTCTTATACTTGTGATACTAGAAACATGAAAATTGTGACAATGCCCACTGAACCTGGTAATGAGTTCTGCCACCAATAGCGCATAAATGAACCATTGGCTCAATTTGTTTGAGTATTCTTACATGCTGAATCACTACATAACCAAGGTAATAAACTTATTCATATACAATTAGCTTTTAAATGTTTGCAGTGCTGAACGTCTATTAAGACGACAGTGGAACAATCTGTAGCAGTACACGAAGTACTTGAGTATTTTGACGGTATGCCTCTTGTAGGCCTTCCAAAAAGAGACCTTTTTCCTCCAGGGCCAGCATCAACAGGTATCATTGCCCCGGTTAGTGTCTGGAAGTACTTTGGAACAGGAAGGCTCTTAAGCATCTGTTCTCAGTAGATCAGCTGTCAACAGAGCAAGATAATTCTGAACATTTGTGGATTACGCTTCTTACTGATACCTAAATTCAGTGGCATCTGGAGAACGTGACAGTTATGAAAGAAAGGTCCTTGACAGTGTAAGCACTGTCCTGCTCAGCAGGAAATGCTGATTCAGTAGCCATGTTAGTCATATAGACAAGATCTTGCCCCTAGGAGTAGAGGGGTTTCCTAGCCCTTTCCTTACCTCCATTTGAGGTGTAAGCCAACGGCTCTTGTTGCTTAGGCAAGATTTCACCCCTCTGAGTTAGGATATCTCCCACCTATATTCTTCTTCAGATTCAGCAG